CACTGGCTCCTAATCACTCACCTGCCTGCCTGCCTGGTCACCTCTTACTGCCCACCCCCCGTCGGCCTGGTCGCTTCTAACTGCCCCCTCCCTGCCGGCCTGGTCGCCCCCAATTGCCCCCCGCACCGGCCTGGTCACCCCTCATGGCCCTCCTGCCGGATTGGTTGCCCTATGCAGCCTGCTTGTTCAGTCATTTGGTCGTCCCTCACTAACCCCCCCTGCCGGCCTGGTCATAGGCAGCCATCTTGTGAGGGCATGAGGGTTAATATGCATATTACCTCTTTATTATATAGGATGTCCAGAATAAGCAAATCCAGAGACAGAACATATAGATTAGTGGTTGCCATGGGCTGAGGGGAGAGGGTAGTTTGTAGTGTCTGCTAACACAGGACTTCTTGGGGTGATGAAAATATTCCGTAATTAGGTAGTGGTGATAGCCTCATAACTTTGTGAATATACGAAAACCCACTGAATTGCACTTTTAAATGGGCAAGTTTTATGGTGTATGAATTATATCTCAATAATGCTCATTTAACAACAACAAAAAGCAGAGTGATGAAAATGTGTGCACCATGTAAGCAAATTCTTGCAACTTCACATTCTGTGGAGAAAGGATGAAGAATGAAAGGTGGGAGTGGGAGCACAGATACCTTATACTAATGGACCTCATGTAAATGCCTGCTATTTCTCAGTTATTGGGAGAAATTCATTTATTTCTCTAAATAAGCCCCCTACCAATAAACCTCATGCCACAGCAAGGTAGAAAGGCCAAAGAAGTCTACAAATAAAAATCAACAGGAATGCCTTGGGCAGGGGGGCTCAGTTAGTTGGAGAGTGGTTTCATACAGCAAAAGGCTGTGGGTTCAATTCTAAATCAGGGCAAATACCTGGGTTGCAGGTTCAATACCCAGTCGAGACATAAATGGGAGGCAACTAATCGATGTTTCTCTCTCACTCTCTCTCTCTAAAATCAATAAATGTATCCTCAGTTGAGGATGAAAAAACAACAACAGAATACTTAGGAAAGTCAACCTGGATTTTCTCTCATCACAGAAGCTGGACTTATCCTAGCCCTTCTTTGAGGATGCCAGGATCTTACCACTTCCATCATCCCAAAATTGAACCGGAGGCAACTAAGCGATGTTTCTCTCTCTCTCTCTCTCTCTAAAATCAATAAATGTATCCTCAGTTGAGGATGAAAAAACAACAACAGAATACTTAGGAAAGTCAACCTGGATTTTCTCTCATCACAGAAGCTGGACTTATCCTAGCCCTTCTTTGAGGATGCCAGGATCTTACCACTTCCATCATCCCAAAATTGAACTCAATATCAAGTTACACAAGTAGATGTGACGCCAGAAGGGACATGTATTCTTGGGGGTCTAGAACACAGTCCAAATGAAAAACATCGTGCCAACTCATTTCCTCATATTAACGTAATAGGAGTTTTTTTTCCTTTTCTAATATTAATTTACAAAGATCTTTATTTTACTGGGTTGCAGCAGCTTGGAGATTTAAGATGGCCTGTACCTAATATATTATCCCTCAAAACATCTCCATGGAAAACAGCAAGGAAAGTCACTAATCCTCTCCTATATAATAAAACCCTAATATGCAAATCGATCAAACAGCGGAACGACCGCTGGAACAACCGGTCACTATGACACGCACTGACCACCAGGGGGCAGATGCTAACACAGTAGCTGCCCCCTGGTGGTCAGTGCGCTCCCACAGGGGGAGCACTGCTTAGCCAGGAGCCAGCTCACGGCTGGTGAACCCAGTGGCGGTGGCAGGAGCCTCTCCTGCCTCCACCGCAGGCGGGCAGTAAGGAGGGAGGGGTCCCGGACTGCAAGAGTGCACAGGCCGGTCTAAGGGACCCTCCCCCCCCGCCCAGTGCATAAATTTCGTGCCCTGGGCCTCTAGTATAATAATGAAATCAGGACTATTGACTATGGTTTATTAAAGGGGACAGACACTCTCACCACTACACGCGGAAGCAAGAGAACACATTACAAGAGTCATCTTAAAAGCTGTCCCCACAGGACAGAACAGCATTATTTAAAAGTGCCAGAAACATAGGAATGGTCACTGACTTGATAAGGCCCTTGGCTATCTAAACAGCTTAGACCACCACCCTATAATCCAATTTATAAAAACAAAAACCCAAATAGAAATCCCAGAAGCTACAATTAGAATAAGAGTTTATAAGCATGACAGAGAACTCAAAAATCAAAATGGAAAAAGATTAACTTTTTAACTTATTTATTGAACACTTGCTATGTGCCTGGTACTTCACATACAGCATCTCAGTTTATCTTCACAATAATTCTACTAAGTATGCAAAAGAGAGATGAATGATGTTAAATATTTTCCCAAAAGTTATGCAGGTGGTAAGTAAGTGGTGGAGGCACCATTCCAACCAAAAGGAAATCTAGTCATTAGGCAAGTTTACATATTAAAATTATTTTAACTGAGATTTCAGTGAAAAGGGTAAAAAGAAAGGGTGTACTCAGAAACTCAAGATCTAAAGTAGCAGAAATCTTAAGTCAGGCTTGAAGCTTAATTATAACAAAATTTAAATTTTAATAGAAAAGCTAGTAATAGAAGAAAAATATTAACTTCCATATAAGCCTATTTGGCCAATAGCAGCCTTATCATCCCACCCCACCCCCATGGTAAAATGCTACTACTATATTCTATTTATGTAACAATTCAAAATGTATACCCCCCAACATAGTCTCATAGTAACCTGAAAGGATGTCAATTGTTCAAAAAGGCAGTCTGACTCCAAAGCCTAGATCCTTCACTATCACACTATTCTGCCTCCCATAAAATTAGAAATTTATAACTTTTCCCAAACTATAAACAAAAATTAAAGATAAAAATATTGTATTAAAGCCAAGGGCATAACTATTGATTGCACTTTTATTCTTTATTTCTTAATTATATTATATTGTTCATACACATTTTTAAAAATTTATACTAACTGCATCGTTAAGAAAAAACAAAAAGTGAAATGGCAAAATATTTGCAACAGTAAGACAGAAGTATAATATGCCTAATATTTAATAAATAGCTCTCACAAATCTACTGAAGACAATCAAGTCAAAAGAAAAATGGGCAAAGAACCTGAACAAACAGACACTGAGATATCATCAGATCTGGCAAAGACTAAAAAACTAAAATATCTAGTGTTAGCATGAGAGCAGGGAACCCAGACCTAGCCTTTGTGGCATTCTGAACCTGGATGCTCCTGAATTACTTCATTCATACATTAATTTTAATACTTGGCAAGTTGAAATGGTTGTCTCTTTCTTAATTGAATCTTAAAGGGCATCTTAATCCTTTTTGTATCCCCAGTACCAAACCAGTGTCTAGCCTATAAGTGATACTTACAATCACTAAGCAACATGTGAAACACAATATCAGAGCAATCAGAACTATCTAGGCCTGAGCTGAGAGCAAAGATGGCTAGACTCATAATATTACTTCCTGAGGCTCCTGATAAAGGCAAAAAGTAAGAAGTCTTCCACAATTTCTCCTTTCCTGCATAGAGATTAAGAATGGTCAATGTGCATTATGAAAATTAAGCCTTAAAAGTTTGCAGAAAAATACTAATTTTTCATACTTTATCATTTAAAGCCTTCTTAAGAAGAGGTATGTTTCCTGATGAATAATTGTGACTCCCAAATTTCCCATTTCTGTAATATAACCTAGTATACCACTGTTAACAGCTACAAATACCTGAAATCCATTTTTAAAGTATTATTAAAAAAACACACAAAAAAACCCAAAACAGGCCTAACCGGTTTGGCTCAGTGGACAGAGCATCCGCCTGCAGACTCAAGGGTCCCAGGTTCGATTCCAGTCAAGGGCATGTACCTTGGTTGCGGGCACATACCCAGTAGGGAGTGTGCAGGAGGCAGCTGATCGATGTTTCTCTCTCATCGATGTTTCTAACTCTCTATCCCTCTCCTTTCCTCTCTGTAAAAAATCAATAAAGTATATTAAAAAAAAAACTATATAAAACACAATGAACCAATTCATTTTTAGATGTAAGCTATATTCCTAATGTTAAAGTTTAATGCATCTCAATGATTTGTAATTCAGAAAACATTTCTGGCATAAGTCAAATAAAAACAGTGACTATAAGAAGAAAAAAACTGTCCTCTCCAGAAATGATCCTATTATTTCTTTTGGTGATATAGATCGAACACAAAAATCTGTTTTCTAAGTATATCACCAAAAACCATAAAACATACTCCAAAACAGTATTTATAATTTGATTTGTTTTTAAAAGGGTATGTTCTTGGTGAGATTACTGGTGACATGTTAATCTCTCCCCGCAAAATAAAGATATAACATTTATTTATTTATTTATTTATTTATTTATTTATTTATTTCAGAGAGGAAGGGAAAGGGAGAGAGAGATAAAAACATCAGTGATGAAAGAGAATCACTGATCAGCTGCCCCCTGCATACCCCCTACTGGGGATCGAGCCTTTAACCCGGGCATGTGCCCTTGACTGGAATCGAACTTGGCACCCTTCAGTCCACAGGCCAACACTATATCCACTGATCCAAACCAGCTGGGGCTAAAGATATAACTTTTTCTAGACATGAAAAATTCTTCAATTTTTACCATTTGTTGCTTCTACAATTAATTTAAAAAGTATCCAATTATTCATCAAAATCAAGATGAAAGATACAGTATAGTGTGCTACCTTTTGTATTAAAGTGGGCAGGAGATTTGTGTGTGTGTGTGTGTGTGTGTGTGTGTGTGTGTGTGTGTGTGCCTGCCTGTGCGTGTTTTTGGTGGTCTAATAAATATTAGCTTTAGAAAAATACATAAGAAACTAACACTAGAGCTCTGTGGGAAGGGTAACAGGGTAGCTGGAGGATAGTAAAAGAGAAGCTTTCTTCATTTCAGCTTTTTGTGTATCTTGGATTTTAAGCAATGGGGGTATCTGCAGATCAAAAAAAAATTAAAAGTACTTTACCTTGCACCATTGTTCCTAATGACTTCCACAGTTTCTTCGACAAAATATCGATCCTTGATATATGCAAAAATATCATCACAAATTTCATGTAAGCGTGAACGATGGGTAAGGTTGGTCAAGTATAAAACTGGAATAATTAGTGGTTCTGGAAAACTCTGAAGATTCTGTCTTGCTCTTTTTTCTGACTCAAGTGCTTCCTGATAGGTCAGTCCAGGTCTACCCGTCACAGCACAACTCCACACAAGACTGTTGCACAGAATGGTTCGTTCAAAAAAGTCACTGATTAAAAAACAAAAATAAAAATCTATTACCTATCATTTCACAAATTTTACATTAAATGCTGATGAATAATTATGCCTCTATTGCAAAAATTTACATAGAATCATAGAACTCAAACAAGGGTTTAGTAACTGGACAGCTTACACATTAATATAAACCTGAGAAAAAGTATAATAAACTAGATATTTATATTTTGCAATTTAAAAGTACATTCAGCCAAAATTAGACTTTGATTTCCATTAGTTTTTGAAACTCAAAGTGCAACTGAAAATAAACTCAACCTTTCCTTTTCATTTTTCTAATTTTAAGTTTTGCTCCAAAGCAATCCAAACACTGGAGTGAATTCAAGCACTTAACTACAAATTTTATTTTTTAACTATGAATTTTTTAATATACTTTTCTTGATTTCAGAGAGGAAGGGAGAGGGAGAGGGAGAGAGATAGAAATATCAATGATGAGAGAGAATTATTGATTGGCTTACTCCTGCACGTCCCTTACTGGGGATCAAGCCACAACCCGAGCATATGCCCTTGACCGGAATCGAACATGGGACCTTTCAGTACGCAGGCTGATGCTCTATCCACTGAGCCAAACCGGCTAGGGCTTAACCATGAATTTAAAAGGCTTTAACATAATAGTGAAAAACTGAAATGTAAGCATCTAATAATCAGAGAAAGGTTAAGTAAATTATAGTACGTCATATGATGTAAAATCATAGTCATTACACAGTATAAGAACAGTTCTTAAATAATATGTTAATAGGGAAAAATGTTCAGGTTTTTCTATATATGACAATATGATCCTATTTGCATTAAAAATAAAAGAAAAAGGAAAGAAAGAAAGAAAAAGAACCTAAAAAAGCATAAAATATTTCTGAAACAATATACAAAAATTAAGGTAATAGGCATGGGACTGGATGACCATTCTACTCAATCCTTTTCTGCACTATTGGAATTTTTTTATATGGGCATTTCTTTAAAAAAAATTTTATCCTGTCACTTTTAAAATGCAAGAGGTCTATAATTTGGAAAGATGTTTTGTATATTCTAAGTAGAAAAAAATCAAATTAGTGAATAACACAATCCCATATACACTGATTATAATAACAAGAGGGTTTGTATTTATACAAACACTATAAACACATGTTCCCTATGGAGAAAGGGAGGAACTGAGAAGGAAGAAAAAGGAAAATTTGTTAATTCTAAATATTTCTACAGTGTTTGAATTTTTATAAGGAGTATGTACTTGTATTATTTTAATAATAAAGATATTTTCTTTTTAAAAAAAATTTATTAATTTTTTTTAAGAGGAAAAGAGGAGAAAGAGAGAAACATCTATGTGAAAGTGCCCTCTATGAGGGATCGAGCCTGTAACCCGGGCATGTGCCCTGATCAGGAATCAAACGGCAACCTTTCAGTGCATAGGAGGACGTCCAGCTAACTGAGCTACATCAGCCAGGGCTACAACAAACATATTTTCAAAGAGAAAAGGTCAGACATATGCAATAGGGTTAACAGTGGTTGCCTCTAAATGGTAAGACATTCATATTCTGCGCCCTCCCCCATACTCTGGTCTTCTTTGCAATAATTACATGTAGCCGATATAATTCACTATTCTTTAACCTTTTCTCCTTCTTGAAATCCCTCTTTCCTTCTCCCATCATTCTAAAAAGTATATGTTTACTTCCTAGTGAGTAAATCTATTTAGGTTATCCCTGTAGTAGTCTGATCTCCAAAGATGTGGGGTAATTCCATTAAGGTACTTTCATTTGTATATTTGTCTGTAGAACAACAACAAAAAAATGAAATATATGGAAATAAAGAGAAACTACTCATACTTTAACATAAATGAGATCTAAAGAGATAGCATACATAAACCAAGTTACATGACTTGGCTTTAGTAGAGGAGATAATGGATGTATATCATTAAAATACAAAGTACAGAATGACTACCTTTATAATACAGAGACAGATATCCTTTGGGAATTCAGAGGAAGGAAAGGAGGAGAGGCAGGCAAAAAAGATAAAAAAAAAAACTAGAAGGAAGTGGCATTAGAGAGTTAGGGTTGTAAAGGAAACAGTTGAAGTAAGAAGTGCCAAAGAGAAAAAAGGAATATAATCTGGTTCTTATAAGCAAGAAAATCTATGTCAGATAAGTAATATCAGCTTAGAGAGAGGTAACAGACATACCCAATAGATGGGTATCAATGGTATAGGACAGTGGTCGGCAAACCGCAGCTCGCGAGCCACATGCGGCTCTTTGGCCCCTTGAGTGTGGCTCTTCCACAAAATACCACATGTGGGCGCGCATGTACAGTGCGATTGAAACTTTGTGGCCCGTGCGCAGAAGTCGGGTTTCAGCCTGGGGGAGTCTAGTTTGAAGAAGTGGTTCGGAAGTGGGGGGTGTCGGTCAGGGGACAGGAGATGCGGCGCAGGTGGGCCGCGGGATACGCAGCACGAGGGAGGCACGTGCGATTCATGCACGAGTTGCGTGAGCCAGTCAGTCAGCAGTCTCATGTGCAGTGGTTAGTGCTAGTCGTGTCCACAAATCACGCGCGGGTAACAAAAGTACCTACTCGAAGCTTAAAGTTACCTGTATTTTTCCAACCAGCTGCAAACCTGGGTGAGTCTAGTTTGAAGAAGTGGTTCGGAAGTGGGGGGTGTCGGTCAGGGGACAGGAGATGCGGCGCAGGTGGGCCGCGGGATACGCAGCACGAGGGAGGCACGTGCGATTCATGCACGAGTTGCGTGAGCCAGTCAGTCAGCAGTCTCATGTGCAGTGGTTAGTGCTAGTCGTGTCCACAAATCACGCGCGGGTAACAAAAGTACCTACTCGAAGCTTAAAGTTACCTGTATTTTTCCAACCAGCTGCAAATCCTACAGGTATCTTTTTTTATAAAGATTTTATTTATTTTTTTAAAATATATTTTATTGAATTTTTACAGAGAAGAAGGGAGAGGGATAGAGAGTTAGA